CTTCCACAGGATGTAGAAGACTAAGTCCTGTCAGGTTGGTAGGTATTTTTAATTTTTAGTTTTAATTAATTTTCCAAATACTGTACCTTTTTTAAAGCTAACTTTTTCACATTTTGGAAGGGTAAATGAAAGAAGTGTTACCTCTTCCACTGCTCACTTTTCCAAAATTGCCTAAACTTTGAAAAGTCATTAAAAAGCAAAAGTTATTTGAGGAAGATTTAGGAGGAAGTTCTTAAAAATCACATGAGTATTTACTTAACTGTTCTGTGGTGAAAAAAAAGTACATCATGTCTAAGAGCCTTTGAAAAACTGATCCTAGAATATTTTTTCAAGACTATATGAGATCTAATAGTAAAAGTCAAATTTTATCAGAGAATAGTTTTGGCCTATTTCAACCAAGTTGCCCATCAGACTTAAATAAGTTAACCGCTACCAAAAAAGGGTGAGATGCTTAGAAAGGGAAGTGCCCAACTGACAGAATTTGGGGTATAATACAAAGCAATAACTCTATTAGTATTTGTAGATCTTCATGTAACTGTTCTTGTGATAATTTTCTTCATGCTTCCCATCTTGTTAATCAATTAGATATGCATCCCTGAATCCACAGATCCTCATTTTCCTGAAAATACTTATGACCTTTCCAGACATAAAAGCCTGGAGGATTGAAAACCCAAGTGACTGCAAGGGCAGCTGGACTTTTCAGCACTAAATTCAGTAAATATTGAATGATTTCTCTTTCTAAGATGTAAAAGCAGAACCTAGACACCTATTCCAAGTAATCTTAATGAGGCAGATTTCAGAAAACATCCCCTTCTGGAAACCAGTCTCCATCGATGTTGCTCAATCTCAGTACAAACACATGACAAGCCACTAGACACACTGAAAACACCTTGATTAACATGAGCACAGTAGCAAATTGTTAAAACACCTCCCTCAGCCAACTGGCACAACCAAGTGACAGCAGCAGTGGAAGATATAAAGCTTAGTCATTTGTTCTTGAGGCTGGAGATAGGACAGAAGGAGTTGGGATGAAACACTGGGACCTGAATCAGGAACTGTCTTTGGGCACAGTGTGACTCTTCTCCCACACATACAAACTTGTCTTAGAACAATGATAAGCATTTATGACCAGCCTTTTCTCTCCAACACAGAATACTTTTCTCTTTGATACTATAGTTTTCTATTACAGTAGTATTTAGAAGGAGGGTTTCCTTTTTCTTAAAAATATAGAAAGGATCTCAGTGAACGAGAAAATCTTGCTCTTGCATTGGGATGCTCACAGAAAAAATGGCACATCTGTGATAAAGATACTGTAAGATGCAATTTCAAATTGAATGCAGTGTGACTGATCATAGGAGATCGTGAAGATGGGAGGAAGCAGGGAGTAGTAAGAAAATGTAACTATTAAGACAATTGAGCCTCATTTGATTATTTCTAGACATAAAGATTTTCTGGACTATAACTAAATAAATGCATACCACATATCTCCAGCATCTATCTACTAATCCTTTTTAATTGGCAGTTCTTTTTCACATGGGCTGGGACAAGTCTAAACAAAGGATTTGAAAAACAGTGAAACAGGCCATCAGACTATCACAGGGAGAAAATTCCTCTTGCACACCGTGTAGAGGTCACAAAACACCCAACATGTATACAGGAATTCTTGCTGATATCAGTCTTTGAAAATGAGGATTTTTTTTTTCTTTTTTTTTTTGGGCTAATGAAGAGAAAAATAAATTTCTTTAAGAATATCAAAAACTTTTAAGTTCTCAAAGCAATACAGCACAGTGCAGGCAGAATCACAACATCAAAATCCCATCCAAAAGCCAGTGATTTCGGTATTTTACAGACTTCCCTCCCAGTGAAAGATTCTGAGGAAGATCATAGAATTTAGTAAGAGAACATTCTCAACAGTCCATTAGCAAGAGACAATGGGAGGAGAAAAACAATCTTGTGATTCAAGAGAAAAACTGAGTGCCTTATTGAGGTATATACTTGTGTCAGAATGAAAACTGCACACCTACAAGCTGCACAGTCAAATGGGCAGAGCATTTCCAGCATAGAAAAGGAGTTTCTCAAAGGCATATTTGTAACAAGAAGCTAGGCAAGCTGCCTCGGAGTCCACAGACAGCTATCTGTCACAAGGAGAAGCAGAATAACTATAAGTAATCTCTTAAACATAATAATACTAAGAATCATGTTAATTAACATTATGAACACTCAAGAGACTGAGCCTTTTTTATTGCCTGAAGGCTAGAACTGGCCTGTTATGCAGCAAGAACTGTCATTGGGATTACAGGCAGCAAATAACTGACAGAATCAGGCTCCAGGCTTGCTTTTTCATCTTTTTCATGCAGTTTTACACTAATTTAACATAATGTTTACATTTTCGCTTCACTTTACAGTATGACGCTGTAGATAACTGCAGTTACACACACACAGTCTGAACTGTCATATGCCATAAAAGAGAATATTCTCTTTTTCTCATGCAACTAGATGGTCAAAATGTAGCATTTTTGAACCTGAACAAAATAAAAAAACTGTATTTAAGATGTGCATAGGAAAAGACATCTGTGGAGGTTATTGTCTGGCATCCTATTTGATATACCAGTGGTACTGGTACCACTGCTGAGCAGATCATTATTCTGGTCTTCTATATTTAATGGTAGCCCCTTATTCAAAACAACACCATCGTGTCCCTTCATTATTGTTTTGAACAAATGTTATTATCCAGAAAAGGTGTTTCTTCTTCAGTACCAAAATGGTATGGATATCCTTACCATTAAAACAATCAAGTAGTCAAATGCCTTGAAAAAGGCATTTAAAAAAATGCCTATAATCAAGAGATGATGATACAGTAACTTAGAAATCAAAAAAATAATTTAAAAACCCAAAGCGATACATATTAAATTTCAGAATTATTCAAGACATATGCATAAAATGCTACTTATTCCCTTAGGAAGTTGATGAGAGCTCATCCAGAGACTTTGGATAGTCTTTGGTTTGTATTCCTACCTGCAAACAGGGACACAGGACACATATCCCTTCAGGCCCAAGAGGGCTGCAGTCTTTGGCATGAGGTCCAGTGCTTTGTCACTTCCATTCATGGGCAAAAAGTCAATGTTTTAGATGGTGATTTGTTTGTTTAAAAGGAAATAAAGCCCATCATAAAATGTCATGAAACATTATAAAATCGGGAAATATTTCTGAACTATAAAGATTACCTATTTGGATCATATTCCTGATAATCTCTGTTCCTTTTCCCCTTCCAGGAAAAAAATTGAGCCTGCAACCTTTATTCATATGAAAGTAACATTTGCAAATGTGCACTGAAGTCAAGCCAACCCAGCTCTTATGGATCAGACTGTAGCTCCTTGTTCATATTGCAAAACAGTCACACAATTCTTTCAGACTACAAAAATGACCAGTTTACATAACTGCTCATCAGCATGAAAAATTATAGTAATAAGGCCATAAACTGGAACAGTGAGTAGACTTGATAGCATTGGCTAATTTTGTATTTTCAATTGAAAGTACAGCAAAATAAAATACTTTGCTTCATGAAACCTGAGCTTGATGTTTGTTTTCTATTTGTCCTCTTTTGTTGGTTTTTTGGGGTTTTTTGTTTGTTCATTTGTTTGGTTTGTTTTGTTAGGGCTCAACAATCTGCCATGTACACTGCCAGTCAATCTTTGGCACTTCTGGCTCTACAGATGTCCTTTATTCTACCTGTCTTTCTTCATTTGAGCTTCCATTGTTCAGAAACAGTGTTAGCCAAATATTTCAAATAATAAAACCTTGCTATTGATTACAATCATAAACATACAGAAAAATTTAGTTTCTGTCTTGCCTTTGGGTGTTAAATAGTGGTCTTACCCTACAAATAAGCCTCATATTTTGTTCTTTAAACTGTCAGCTACTATCTTAAACAACAAATGGTACTCATAAATATTCTGCAAAAACTGCAGGAAAGAGAAAGACAGAGAGAAAGAGAAAAACAGTAAAATGCAATCATCTCCAATAATTTCTAAAGTAATCAATGGGTTTGCAGATGATTCATTTAAAAAAAATGGTATGTTTAATTACTAAATGATATCTACTTGTAACAATGAGGTGTTTTTGTTGTCATCTTAAAGCCAGAGAGGTAGCTAAGACATTAAATACAACGCGTGTAGTTATCTAGTTTCTTCTGACTTTCCTCCATTTTGGAAACATAAATGTTTTCTAGAGATAATGATGCTGCCAATTAGTGAGAAGACTTTATTTACCCATTTTCGTGCTACTGAGTAATATTAAAATAACAATGTCTGAAAGCACTGCCAGTTGTATACCATGATAATTTTCATGAGTTTTGGTTCTATTACAACTACTAAACTGTTGGGATGCTTAAATTTTAAGTTTGACCAAACATGTTTGGTTTAGAACCATTAAACATGTTTTGCACACCTATATATCAACTGAAAGATTTCAAAGGAGTAACTTTCACTGATAAGTAATTGGCTAAGGTGTACAAGAAAATACCCAAAGTCAATGCCATTGCCACTATGATGTTACTACACTGGGCATTTTCTTGAGGGTCAATTTTACAGAGCTCACTGAAATCCAGCTGCCAGAGGCATTTTAGAGAAAAATCTGTCTTACAGCAAGACTTTTCTGGGCAAAAATCTGTAACTGTAACTTAAAGTAAGAAATAAGTCACTATATAGTCCATAGTTCAGTCTCCCTCCTTATGCCTTGCTTTGTTCTTCTTTTCCTACAGGTCCCTATTAGTTCATTTTGTGAACTCTACTGTCTTGTAGCACTTTTAAATCAAGGGGAATAAATTCAGGAAGAATGAAGGAGGGAAAAAGAAATCTCTGACCTGGTATTACCAAAAAAAAACTAAAAAAAAAACCAACCAAACAAAAAATAAAGACACTAAGATGAAAACAAAATAGTGCCATGGATTTACATATGGGGTTTTGATGGAAACTAGGGCTGGGTTTTAAGTCAAAACTCACCATCTCAAAACCACTTCTTTTCATCCGCCTGCAGGACTTGAGGTAAGTACGTATGCGTTTTCTGGCACGCTCTTGATACTCAGGGAATTGTCGCCTGCATGAGTCAATGATAGCCTGGATCTTTTCTTTGGGCTGCTTAGAGATTGGGACCATTCGGTCCAAGTTTTCATCTACAAACAGCCTGACAAACATCTGTTGGCAAGAGGGAGACAGAGGAGATGGGTTTGGAGGGCAGCTCTCTTCTCTTCCTAGCTTCCTGGCTTGATTACTAATAGGAAGACATTTTTTTTTCCTATCCACTGAAGAGCTTTGTAAAGGGAAGCCAGAAATATAAAGCAAACAGTTCTTTAAAGGGTTATTTGGGGTGGGGGTGGGTTGGGTTTAAAAAAATAGACAAGAAAAGAAAAGTCTATAGGATACAGAACTTGTGAGATAAACCAGAACAGACCGTGAAAATAGGCACTACTTAAGTTTCATTGTTAACAATAAGCTGTGATTGCTAATCATTTTATTGAACTGACTCACATATTTTTCTTTGTTTGAACAATTGCTTGTGTTTCCATGCATAATTTTATACATTGAGAAAGCAATAGAGAAGGGTCTCCTGACAAAACTAGCTACAGCCTCTTTCCATTCAATGGGTGAACATGCACATCCACACGGCCAAACACATGATCACACATGCACACATACAGAACAAAGCTTTGTTTTCCTCACTGGTAAAGATGGCACTCTGCCTCAAAATTCTAAATGAAACACAGCAAATCTGTCATGTGTTGGCAAGAGTTTAATGTGCATTAAAATAATAATTGAAATAAATCCTGCAAATTAATGTGCCTTTAATATTGTCAAACTTACCCAAAAACAACAATGCAAAAGGAAGAGAAGTAAACAAGGTGAGTGCAAGAGGGCTTACGTTAAAAGCTTTCAGTCGCTCTGCTTCTACCCCATCTGATTCATTAACCTTCTCAGGATCTTCTTGCTCATCATGGTCATCCTCATCCTCATCTCCTCGATTCAGAGACAGATCTTCAGCACCTCTGCCTACACTCTCATTCTTGCCAGAGTCATAGCTTGAATAGCTATGTGCAGGGGACTGAAAAAAAAAAAAAAAAGACTATGCTTGTAAAAATTGTCAGCAAAAATAAGGTTGTACTTATCAAAAATATTCAGTAAATATTTCAAGAATTCCATGAATTCTTTTTATACTTTGTTCAACATAAAGTGTTCCTAATCTTTCCAAGAGCAAACAATGCACAATTATATTAATTTCAGTGCTTTAAAAAAATGTGACCAACTGCAAATTCAGTAAATCTATTAAAAAATCAATTACCCTTGATGATTACAGTCAACAAGAAATCTTTGCCATACAGCCTTGTGTAAGTACTACCTACAGAAGTTTCTTATAACCAGTAACATTTTTGTATTAATCAAGATGTAAATAACCGATAGCTGATTTGAACAAAACTCTAAAGAATTAAAATTTAAACATTTCAAGGCAAAGAGAATTCAAGTAGGAAACACTGGTATTCATCCAATGAATATTAAATATTATCAAGAAATGCAAACGTTTATTCAAAATAAGGACATGATTATGTTCTAGTTTCACTTGCAAAGCCCCAGAATGAATTAGAGATGTGTTCTTCTACATGATGCTCTCTGAGAATCATGTAGTAAAACCATTTCCTCTTTGAAAATCAGCATTCAGAACTTTCCCCTGAGCAGAAATTCATTTTGTTGGATAAAACAGATGACCATCTCAATAAAGTGCATCTGCTTGTCAGACCAAAAAGTTTCCAATTGCCAGAAGTTAATACCGTGAATTTTCCCTTGCAATATCAAGTCCTCAGCTGACTGTCCCCACTGCATACACTTCAAACTGCAGACCATAAAAAGGCATCAGTAACAGAAAGCCTTCAACAACATAAAACTTAAAGATCAAAGCTTTTCCCCAGCCACACAAAAGTATCAGAGAGTATCTCCACCAGAGTCATCAGATTCACATTTAGGTCGATCAGAGCAAAATTTTACTTCTATATCTTAATGCTGTAATATTTCACTATTTTTCTCTCTTGCTTCAAAGCATTCTGTAGTCTGAATCAGGTGCTACATGACGAATTTCACACACACACACTTTTTTTAGATGCCTCCTCCCTTAATGTCACCAAAAGTCAGAAGCATAATTCTTCAAATAAAAATACATTTCAAATGGCATGCCTTGAACCACATTCTGAGCTTCATAAAATTGTCTTTATTTCAGGGTATTTTGCCAGCCACAGAATGAATCTGGACAATGAGGTAGAAGGGAAAGACAAACAAAACCATTATTTATAAGGTATATTTTTTCCCTTATATTCTTACTTTAGTTTCTTTTTCTCCCCTTTTCTGTTTTCATTTCCATCTGTGGTCCTCTGTACACCACCAGTTTTAGAGTCATTTGCCTTGCCTTATCAGCACTCATATTCCAAGCCTTCCTTTTTTATATACCCTCCCAGACTATATTCTCACAGTGCCAATCCCCTGGAGTTCCAGTTTTTAATCCCTAATGCCCCTAATATCAGAACTTGCAGTCTCTCTCATCCCCTTCCCTGAGTCTCTTCACTCTCTAGATTACTCTTCGTTCCCTAGACCCTTATAGCAGATGTAGGAAGAGTGAGAAAACATGAAAACAAACCAGAAGAGCTGACCTCGGGATACAAACAGCTTCAACGAGTAGCAAGCTCAGCACCACCCCTTCTGGGGCAAGAAATTAGCCAGGGTTCAAGATAGCAGATGCAGGATGGCATGGGAAGATAAGGCTTGCAAGAGCATCAAAAACAAAACTCCAATTCTTGATACATCGATAGCTTGTCTTGTGAAGATGCTATCTACATTGCTGCCCAGCCACAAGAGTTCAGGTTCCATTCTAAAGGAGGTGATGGCTGTGTTTTATCAGAGTGTCTAACATATGTCAGCAAAAGTGCTTAGCCTGGCCAATGGCTTCCAGAAGGCCAACAGCTGCAGCCTGGTAGACGGTAACAAATGAAAGAGTGATTTCCCTTAAACCTAAAGAGAGTCTCAGAAGACATTTTTTTAATAAGAAAGTTACAATCAATTAATTGTTATTTTTGCACAGTGCTATGCAGTAGAAGATCTGACCTATGCTGCAAGACTTGTTCTTCTGTAGTTCTTTGTTTCACCCGTCACTACAGCTATATAACATGCAGAAGGCTTTGAGATAATCAAAAAGCCATTTCATGTGCTAGGCACCACATAAAGCATAGAAGCTGCTGCCCTAAAGAAACCTACTGACTGAAATCCTTGTGCAGATACTTAATCTCACATGTGTCATTTCATCAGACTAAATCCAATTAGACTACTCATGTGCACAAAGTTAAACAGATGCAAAACTGATTTCAGTTTGTACATATGTTTCGGCTGGATGCCAAGATCATAAATTATGCACCAGCATTGAGATTTCCTTTCGTGAAGGAAACAAATTCAGGTCAAAATGGCTTAAGTATATCTCTCAAAAATGCAACAGTCAGGGTGTTTGTTTGGTTTTTGGTTCTGTTTTGTTTTGTTTGTTTTTTAACGAAAGCATTGCATAGAGAGCCCTGTCCAAGATCTTCTCTAAAGTTTTTATTTAAACAACAACTTTAGCATCTTAAATAAACTGTGGGGAATAACAATCTGAGAAAGTTGCATGATAGGAATCCATATTTCTTCACTGTGAATTTGAAGACTGTGTAGAGTACCAGGAAAAAGATGTTTTTCTCCTAGCTGTTTCATTAGCCAACTGAGGAAGAAAAAAGCTCACTTTGAGTTTGCAGAAGTTCAGCTAAGAACAAAATTTTTACCTTTCTGTATTTCTACACAGATGAATATTGATTCAGAGAAGGAAGAGACATCTCTCACTTGTGTTGACCCTGCAGTTGTGCAAAAGCCAAGAAGGATTTCCTTTTGCTACTCTATTAAGCAGCCACAGTGCTAAACATGTGATGGAAGGGCAGAGGAGAACTCGTAGTTCGGACATGATACCCAGTTTTAGGTCTTGCACTGTCCTTTCAAAAGGCTGCTCCTAACTTTGACAGACATGAACATGCTCACTCAGATTCCTGCACAGACTTTGACACATACATTTTATGGTCCTGCAGTAAACTATACTGAAGAAGTGAACCTGGTTAAAATGTTTTGGTTTTGCTTGTTTGTTTGTGGATTTGATTTTTCCTAATATTTTCCAGTCTGCTTAATACAAGAATCAATTCTTGGTTTCAGTTCACCACCTGAAAGCAAAAACCTTTGTGCTGACAGGAAAGTATAAGCATGGAGGAAAGCATACACATCTGTTGATAGCAATGAAAGATTAAATCTTGGTGGAGTGGAAGCATTAGTAGATGTAAGATGTTTCACAGATGAATGTTTTGTGCTTAAAAACTGAGGGTTGGAGAAAAAAGTGACAGCAATGAGAAGCTATTCAGTGAGAATAAATGAAGTCAAGACTAAGGGCAAGATTATTTCCTTGCCCAAACATTTAGATGATTATCAAGCAGTCTTAAAAATACTGAGATGCTGATATTTCTATTTGGACCACTTTATCCTTGCCCTTTCTTGAAGGTTCTGAATTCATTATTTTAATCTCTTCCTTAATAAATAATAAGCAATAATAAGTACTAGGCAGGACTGCTTTATCAAAATGAAAGTAAAGGTTCATGCCTAATTACCTATTTTAGGGAAGTTGTGACATGAAATACCAACCTCTTTCTAAAACATTACAAGTCAGCAACAACATTCACCTGAAGTCAAATCATACAACAGGAGACCTGGGAGGATGTCACAGTATCATCTACTTTATCTTGCTGCCCCAGAACAAGGTCAGACGGTCAATCCTGACCACTGTTTTCTAGTTTTTGTCTTAAGACTTCCAGTGAGAGAGATGCCATGCAACCCCCAGATAAACTGCACCAGTGTTTCACCATCTTCAGAACTATTAAAACCTTATTAAGGCCAACCTCTGGCTTTCATAAACGCACTAAGCCTATTTCTCTTTCATGTATCTACCACGGATTGCAATGGAGGAAAGGTGTGGTTTTGGGAGAAGAGTGCATTCTTTTCCTTCTTTATGAGACTCTTCCCAGCACCTGAGGACTGTTATCATGTCCCCTCCCCTCAATCTTCTCTTCCCAATAAATTAATTTATGCTGTGAAACCCAAGTTTTCCTGATTCCTAATCATTCTTACTGGTCTCCTCTGGATGTTTTCCATGTGATTTGAAACCTTCTCAAAGAGTAATTCCCAAAACTCCAAAATGTATTCTATTTTCTGCCTTTCTATGAAAGATATATTTCTTTCTCTTTTGCTCAATTTCTAGCATGCTTACAGCAGAAAAACCTTATCCATTTATTTGTAGAAGAATACCCCAAAGATGCAAAAGACAACAGTGCAGAAACCTCACAGTTGCCAACAGAAATCATGCTGTTATTTTGTGAGGACTAAAGCAGAAGTAATCCGTAACATTTAAAAATATGAAGTCTACCATAGTGCTTCAGTGCCTGCTGGGATTTGACAGTGGTGTATGGCCACTGGACAGGCTTTGGAGGATGACACCACATGAACTCACTGCAGGAAGCTTGTCCCAGCAGAGACTCTTGGCTACCCCAGTGAGTGTACAAAGATGGCACTTAATTACCCAACCAGAAATTACTTGGTGATAGAAAGCTAATTACTGACGGTGACTATTGGTAATGACCAAAAACTTGAAAAATTATGTCTGTGTGACTTTTCTATAGAAGCTATTCCTATGACACAGAAAGGGATTAGAACATTCTGATGACAATGGATTTGATTGATTTTTTCCAAAATTATCAGTTAAATGAGAACTATATATTTTTTTCACACTTACATTTTTAACTGATTCTATATATGACAAAGTTTTTGAAAAAATTCATAAAAATCAGCTTTTGGAAAACTGGTACAAATGAGAAGCATGCCTTTTATTTGGCATATAAAAAAAATTTAAAGTTAAGCCTGAAAGATTAAGGAAAAATTCATGTCCTATAACTTTCTCTTAAAAATATATTTGAAATTATTATGCATTGTTAGAGTTCCACTTCATTC